GTCTGCCCCCCCTCTTTTCCCCCCCCCCCCCCCCCCGCAGGGAAGACTGAGAAAAACCTGACCTCAATACCGCAGACAGCCTGTCTCCCAAACAGAAGAGATGGACCACTAAAGGCAGGTTAAGGCACTTGACTCTATTTTTCTAGGGCTTAATTCCTAAAACAAAAAAAGTCAAAGGACAGCCCATGCAGAGGTCATTGGGCTGACTTCTCAGACAGACCTTTCCATCCATCGGACCCCTTGCCCTTTAAAAAGGTTTGGTTTCCCTTTTTTTTGTAACACCTCCCATCCTAGGGCCAGCTGTCTAAGGGCCTAAGCACACCTGCCAAAAGAACCCCAGTCATACTGAATCTTTCCATACTTCTGTTGTACCAATAGATTTATTTTCGCATTCATGTGGTGTATATACTTGTGGAAACATTCACATTTTTTAACTGTACTGATTCATTTCTTTCTATTTGAACAGTTATAGCAGGCTACACTGCTCTTAATTTGTCTGGATTCATTTCCTCTACTGTTTCTGGGGGCAATCAGGCCCCCTTGCCCTTTTAAAAACAAAAAACAAAATTGATCCATCAGCAGTGCAGTAGAGAGCTCCGAGCCTTCTCTCCTCCTCTCCTTTTCCCATCCCTCCTTTATACGACTCTTTTGCAAAGGAAATAAATTGACAGCACAAAGTTTTACAAGTCTTTTGCACAGCGCCAGGAGTTGGAAACAAGTTTTGAAAGACCTGCAAATTATCATGAAAAGCAGGGTTAAAAAAAGAGAGAGGAGTCCCAATGCTCCTTTCTTTACAATTAAAAGCAGGAAATATCTCTGCTCAAGCCCTCTTTCAACCGCAGAGGAGGGGGAGAAGGCCGTATCCTTCGAGCTGTCCCCTTCAGAGCATCATATTTATATTGTTTTTGCAGGAACAGTGACTGCTACTGCCAATGTATTGAAATACCTTTAAAAAAATAATAATGAAAAAAAACCCTACCCCTTTGCAAAGGAAATAAATCAACAGCAATGTTCACACAGGCTGAAACAATAAGGAACGAAGCAATTCATCATCAGTATAAATTTAAAGAACCCTGTCGGCAAGGGGGAAAATAACCTGGAAATAAACTGTTGGCTGGGAAAAGGAGTTGATCTTGGCCATGTATCGTGTGCTCAGAAATTTATGAAATGATCTTAAAAACAGCCATATTGGTGTAGCTGGGGTTCTTTTGCCAGGTGCAATCTGGCCCTAAGACAGAGCAGCAAAAGCCTCTGCCTAAAAGTCACAGTGCATAAGTGCTCCAGAGCCCATCGAGCTATTTGGGTACCTGAGCTGTGGCCAAGAACAAAAAACAACATCCCTTCCAGTGCCTGCCCCAATTCCTGGTAATGAAAATAAAACAATTACACAGCAAATAACTGAGCAATGTGCTGCCCTTCAGTGCAAATCTGTAGCAGCATATTGTCTAATGGCAGGGCTGGCCTTATTCCTCCTCACTGCATGGTTAAGGGTCATCGTGACCTCTTCTTTAAAGAGGACTGTTGTCTACCTGAAGAGCTGTAAGATGGCAGTCCTAAGTTTTCAAGAGTCCTCTTGCTTAAAAATAAATGCTGTAAGAACCATGACCATCAGGTTGTCCATCTACAGTTTGTGTATAGACAACTGATTGTGGAGATACAATGGCCGGTTAGCAATCTTTCCCACTCTAGAATGAGATATACTATATTTCTTTGCATCATCGTCATCATTCTTTATTACGGTCGCAGACCAGCAAGACTATATTTCTTTTTAAATTATAGTAATATTTTCCCAGTTTCTAAATTCTTCTCTAGGTACAAATGTTTGTCCTTTTTTTGACATTTTTTGGGGGGAAGCAGTTTATACAGGTCCTCCTTTTTGGCAATGTCTAAGTGGTTAGACTAGTATGGTTTGCCTAAATTAGCAACAGGAGCCAGCTTCTGCTCTGCCACCAAGAATTTCTAGAAGTTTTGAAGTTGTTTAGCTTCAAGGCAGGTCAGTCAAACCCTCCACCCATAAATGATTCCACCACCACCCCCGGCCCCTGTTGAAATTGAAGTAGCCAAGTCATTCAGCTGAGGGAGCGAAGAAGATGGAAGAAACCATACCTGTGACTGCAAGCACGAGTCCCATTGTCACCCGAAATACCCCACAGGGGTGGAAAAGAGAAGCGGCCATTGCCCAGTGGAAACCTGAAACTCAAGCGATGGTGCTTCACTTGAGAAAACACAGCCAGCCCCTCTGGTCGAACTTCTTTCTTTTGAGAAACTGAAAATGTTGAGCCTTCTCCCTGACTAGGTCTCCGTTTCCTGTCCATGTAAATGCAGTTGTGAGGAGGCAGCCCCTTGGGACCTTGCCTTTGGAACCAGGTGCAATCTCTCATGCAAGCAGAGGTGCCACGGCTGAACAATTTGACCACAGCAAAGAAGTGGTGATTGGAAGGTTAGGTGGGTAGCTGGGGTTGCCACCAGTGCTGGCAATAATAACCTTGAGGATGAAGATGGTAGCAAGTCCCACAGGAGGAGTTTCTCAGAGCAATGTAAAGCAAAATGTTAGAAAAGCTGTGCAAAGAAAAGAAAGCAGGAAGTGGCAGCAGCGGGGGGGGGATCATTTGTGAACAGAAGGTTTGATTGACTTACTTCGGAGCTAAACATTCATTTCTAAACTAGACGTAGTCAGACTTTGAGAAAACATATTAAAATCAAGGAGATTTTCATCAGTGGATCTGGTTATTTCATTTAATCAAAGTATTTATTTGTTACTTGACCACCTTACTTTTCTCTCCAATTAGCCCATTGTGGTGTACCTGGATTTCATCTGTCACACTTTCTCTGCAGAACAAACCCGTGAGGAGGGTCCAGCTGTCTCCTTCTTCCAGTTCTATTAGGCGTCTCAAGCTTTGGGAGCAAAGAGGGTAAAGCTGATTCACATAATCACCAACCATGGAGATATTTCTAAGAAAAGGGTGTTAAATCCCAGCATAATCACAGGCAGAGTTTAACAAATGGTAGGGTGTGTGTGTGTGTGGGGGGGGTTTGAGAGAAAGAGAGAGAGAATTGTTTTAGCCAATGGATGCTGAAAACATGATCTAGAATCCTACTGGTGCTTGCATAAAGGTTGCCATTGCTAGTTGTGACCCTGGGAGGAAGGGCATGAAGACAAAACCTCATCCCTGATGTTTGTGCCTCGACTCTGACAACACATCCCATAATCATGGGAGTACATGCATCCCTTAGAGTCGGACAGATCAATTTTTCATCAATCGTCCTACAAATGTTTAGGTTAGTAGTGTAGCTGTCACCATATTCTGGTGGCAGAGCTTCTGAGGTTCCTGCATCTTTTTTCACTGTTTCCCCCTCAGCGGCCCTTCAGCCATTCTTTTTGCGGGCACACCCGGAATGGCCTGCTGTGATGCAAAATCTACAGAACAGGCTGTGTTTGTAAGCTCTGTTTCCCTCCTGGGTGCTACGCTGGCCCTCCCTTGTGGCTCTTTGGCAAGCCATTGTTGGCTTCATTTAGAAACAGTTTTGTCCCTTGCAAGGCAGGTTTCACCCACAACATGGCACAGTCAGGACACCCTGCCATGGTAAGCAGCTTGACACGCAGACATTCCTATTCATCACAGACTCGGATTTCACATTCGCGTCTTTGGGACCACAGTTGCATCAGATCAAACATGGCTTTCTTCCACTGATGCCATTGCCCGGAACTGACATTCGAATGGGACATGTCCTGTACATTGGGGATTAATATTCTATGAGGACACACTGTTCCCACAACTGGGGAAAACAAGTAGCCAGGGAGCTGTTTTTTTCCTAAGTGGTGGGGGCACTGATGGGAAAGACAAATACCACCACTGAAGGTACATTTTTCAATAGAGTCACATTGCTTGTTTGAGAAGTAACATAGCAAAGAAAGCTAGCCTTCAAAGTTGTAGGGCTGGATTCTGTCAGGCCTTAGACCCTCTCAGAATGCATTGACTAAAGTTGCTTTTGTACTAGAGCACTTTAATGCTGGAGAGGCATTAACTTTTCTGCTGTTAGCTGTAATTGGAAGTTCACTTCCACATACCACAAGTAGAGTTGGTTTTGGAAGTTCATGCCAGTTCAGCAACACAGCACTACAGGTGCTACACGATCTCCCCCTCTCTGCCAGCTGTCCTGCTCACCAGCCGACACACACTGCTCTTCCTCTCCTCTTTGTACAATTGTCCAGTCCCAGCAGGAGTGCCTCCATCCCTACTCCACCTCCTCCAGCAGCCACCCACTCAGACGAGGAGGTGGGGTAGAAATTCCTGCAGTGCTGCCTTTGAGTGGGAGGCTGCCAGTGGAGGTGAAGGAGGGAACCAGGCACTCCTGCTGGGAGTGGAAGATCATGCGAAGAAGAGGGAAAGAGCAGCACATGCCTGTGGTGCCACACAGATGGACTGGCACAAATTTCCAAACCAAGGTTCATGCCCATCATTAACCACAAGTGCTATATTAATTTGCCAGTGCCGCCTTCTGTGGCCCACATCTTACTCAATATGTTTGCTCAGAACAATGGGCCTTTTCAGTGTTGATTTAAAACTTCCTTCTTGCAGTTTCCATTTCTTTTGCTGCTCCTTATTTCCTGGAGGAATAATGGCTAATATCTTTTAAATTGTTTGCTGAATAGCCTGTTTTAATTGCCCCAGGGTTCCTGCATAAAGGGAAGGCTTCAATTACTGCCTTTTGTTTTTAAAAAGATTAGTTTTACCTGCTTGAGCCCTCATCAAGTGAGAGCATCCTCCTGAAGTCCTCCTGAGCATGAGATGAATACAGTGGACCCTCGACTTACAAATGGCTCAACTTACAGACTTTTCAAGTTACAGACTTCTCTGGCCGTAAAATTTAGGTTCGACTTGCAGCCGGAGAATCGACCTACAGACCAGAAAAAAAACCAAAATGGAACAAAAATGGAACAAAAACAGCCAGTTACGGGATTAATCTGTTTTCAATGCATTGTAGGTCAATGGAGACTCGACCAAGAGACTTTTCGACCTGCAGCCACCATTCCAATACGGATTAATTCCGCAAGTAGAGGGTCCACTGTATAGTACATAAAGACAAAGCCAGGATGAATCTGAGAATTTATGTTTCCTAGTAACAGAACTTTCAGGTTAACTCAAATGGGAAAAACATAAAAGAGGCCCCTCCTTTCACTTTCAGAGTTTTCCATACTTTATGATAGAGAACCTCTGAAATATGAAAGATCTGGTATTCCACCGGGTAGGTGGGGCTCGTCAGCCATGGAAGGCAACCCATCTAGGAGAAGGAAAACTCCAATTTCAAGCCTCCACTGCCTTGTGGCTATATCCACTCGTGGAAAAGGCTTCAGGAGTTAACCTCGAGGCAAAATCCGGAGCTGGAGTCCCGAAGGCAGCATGTGTCGTTCTGCCAACTCCTGCGACTTTGCTGGAACCAGTTGTATTGGCTCTTGCCTTTCCATTGGACCATTTCAGCAATGTGGAGAGGGGGGATCTGCTGCTGGGGTAGCAGCCTATCCTCCATATTACCTTACCCGGGCTTCATGCTCTGGAGAGGACACTCCTCGATTTAGAGCATGTTACCATAGTCTCTCGAGACTGAAGGATGCCTATGGTTATGGTATTCCAAAAGAGAGGTTAATGAACATTATGGATTTCTTTTGTATTTCATATTACCCTACTTTTTTGCCTTTTACTTTATTGATGTTTGAAGGGATTTCCCCCCTTTCCTGTATTGTTGCCTGGAATGCCTGGCTGCCTGTCCTTCACCTGATAAGACTATTGCCTGCACTGCTGTACTGCAGCTGTCAAAGTGGTAGAAGGGAGAGCTGTCTCCCCAATCCCCATATTTGGGGTTGGAAGCTTTGGCAATACTGGCCTTAATGAGTATATGTTTTATGTTGGTTATGATCATGATGATGAATTCTTTTTCTCATCTATGCTGTTTCCTGCTGATGAACTAAGGAGGATCTTGATGTGAGGATGAATGTGAGCTTTAAAGTACTGTGTAGATCTGTGGATGATTGATTGTTCTTTCTCTTGTATTGCTGTTATCCAGTTTTGGAGTAGATGGTTGTCTTTTGTCTTTCCAATTTTGAGGATTCTGTAGGGCTTAATTGGGTCTAGCACCAGAAAGGAGAATGGAAAATCCAAAACAAAAGAACCGTAATATTTGGGTACTTTCAGATTTATCAAAATGTTCTGAAACCAAAAGAATCAAAACCAAAAAAAGAAATACTGTACCCCCTCTCCAAAAGACAGTGGAATGAAAGAAATACTGTATTAGTTTTCGCACTGCACATCCCTAATGTTCAGTATTGAGACTTGGCACAGAACATGCAGAGAAATAGTACAGAAGAGTGTTGGTGCCTACATTCACATATAGGCACATAAACAGTGTATTTGAGGACACATATGTATATATTCTGCCTAATTTTTGAGTAACAACAAGTAGCCCTTGCCTCAGTGTGAAGCTGAGAACTGAGATGTTCCAGCTGAACTGAGAACTGGGGGGAAAAACCCAACTTTTTTGCATACAAGAAGAAGCATCATTAACAGGATACTGGATGCTTGATCTAAGCATCCAGTATCAGGGAGCATATCTTTCTGACAGGTTAAACCCCAGGATCTCTTTAAAAAGGAAAAAAACAAACCATGAAGAGGAGAGGACTAGTACAATAGGGATGAAAACACTGCTTACGAAACAGTCACATTGTGCTAAAATATAATAGTAATTTACAGAGTTTATTTTAAGAAACATACAAAGAAAACATTGCACAATCTAAGTATTTTGCATAGAATATCATATATGTACAAGCAATACAATCCATTTGAAACATAGCAGTTTTGTTTCCACAGCTGTTCACATGTAAACACTATTAGAAACTCTGTCTCAAATGACACGTTTACTAGATCACTTTAAAGCTGAAAATTGAGATGTTCCAGCTGAACTACCAACTAGGGGGAACGCCCAGCTTTTTTGCTTGCAAATGAAGCATCTCCAGTCCTGAATACTTAACCAAAGTGAGGGGAAGAGAATCCCATTGGGATTTCTGATTTTAGGATGGGAGAGGTTTTTCTTAAATGTTCATGTGTATTTTTCATATATTATATTTAACTGGGAGAAAGATTAACTTACTTAATTGGAACAACAAGCCATGTATCCATTTAGCATGTGCAAAGTAGAAACCATTATCACAGAAAATCCTAGCAATTTGTGATGTCCAGCTGAGACAGGTTTCAAATGAATCGGGAGTTCCAAAAATCTATAAGTGCATATTCATATCTGGATTTTCCTTTGAAAAAAAATTATGTTCTTCCAATCTGAAGTTTTAACAATGTTTTTTAGATTATGGATATTGTTGGATTTGAGGGATTTTGCAGGGGTTAAAACTAGAGGTAATAATAATGGTATTCATAATAATCAACATCATTGAACTGCTGGCAGGGACCCTATGGATCATTGAAACCAGCCTCTTTTAAGGAGGCAACAGAGGGGAGTTGAATTCCCAACCTCTAGCTATGCAGCCAGAGACCTAAAGTGAGAGTAATGAGGGTAGGCATTCTGGTTTAGCACACACTATCAGTGTGCAAAATCCATTTTCTGAAGAGAGAACTCTGAGTGCACACAAACCAGCTGTGTGAGGTGACAGTAAATTGGTAGCACTTACTGTTTTTAGCTTTCACTATTGTCTTTTCATTATGTAAGCCACCTGAAGTCCTCTTTGAGGAGAAAGGCAAACTAAAAATATGTTAAATAAATAAAAATAAATAATAGAGCAGGCATGACCATATAAGTGGTATGAGCTTAATATATATCCCTGGTTTATTAGTGAGCTATGCAGAAATGGACATACAAACAAAAGACTGCGATTTTTCCCCCGGTGTGGGGTGGGCTCAGATTCCCTCCTCACATAGGCAACGTTGCCTCCAAATTTAATGTTGATTTTCTTTGTTCTCCCTTCCTTCCCATGTTTCAGGCACCCAGAAAGTTTATTTGACAAATGAATGCACTGCACCGTACTTATAGTATGGAGCATCTTCCCCCCCCCCCAAACCTTGAAAAACTGGTGTGGGGAAGGTGAGAAGATACTTGCATAATGTCATAGTTAGGACCAGCCAAATTCTACATGCTCCTGGGATTCCAATAGAAACTGGCAGAACCAGGGTCTTATGGATTGTACAGAAGATTGTGTATGTGATCAAACCAAGACAGGAGTGGTTATACAATAGCTTGACCACTATAATTATGCCTGACTGTGTTACACATCCACCTAGGCAAGTATGTTAATGTCTGAAGCCAGATCTCCTAGCTGTATCAGACAGGAGATCACGATGAATCTGAGCATAAGTGTTTAGTGCTTTTGGGTTTTCCACCTCCAGCTATCAAAACTTGCCGGTTCAAATAGAAATTGCTCAGAAATATCTTGGGGGCAGGGGCAGAATTTGATTTGCACACTTGTTTTCCTTTAAGGGAAAATAAATAAATATACAAGTGGAAGAAAATTAACATCTTTATTACCTGGAATACGCATAAAAATGAGAGACTCTTTAAAAGAACAGCATCTTCAGAGCTCAAATATAAATATATATATATATACCACATAGAGAAAACAGCCCAGTATTGGAGCTTGTAAAAGATGGTTCTGGACTCTGTCAGTATGGCTAATACAGGCCTGGTGACTCAGAGACTTATTAACTTTTACAAGCTCTGCCTGACTTCCCCAGTATTCTGTTTCCAAGATGAGGCAAGAAGGGCTGCCTCAGAGGGAGAGTCTGACAAAAAGGCAAGGAAACAAGCCAGCAGATGATGGGAGATAACTGGTACCGGTCCCCGTTCTGGTTTTAATGTGTCATGTTCGTCCATTATTTTTCAGTATAATTCCAGATGATCACGGGACAAGCCACTGGGAATAGTTTTTTGCACTAACGGATAGGAGGTTCCTACCCTTCAGGTTTGGAAGTGCAGCACACCATCCTGAAAAATCTCCCTCTTCCTCTGGGACACACCCACCCTTTTCTTATTGGGCATGGGTGCTGACTATCTGGAGTTCAGGCCTCTATGCCAGTGGTCCCCAACCTCGGGCCTCCAGATGTTCTTGGACTACAACTCCCAGAAGCCTTCACCACCACCTCTGCTGGCCAGGATTTCTGGGAATTGAAGTCCATGAACATCTGGAGGCCCAAGGTTGGGGACTACTGCTCTATGCCACCTAACACAACATATGAGGAAAGGGCTGGAGCAGCAGAAAAGGAGGGTAAAGCAAAACATGTGACCTTGGGACTGTGGGGAATCAATCAGAACATACAGTAGCCTGTATTTGTACTCTAAATCAGAGCTGTGTAGATGCACCTCTAAAGATGAAAACAGTAAGACTGGCAGATACAGAAGAAGCACTGCTTATATGCTTGGGTGTTTTCTAGAGTTGAGAGTTAATTCAGGAAATTTGCAAAGCTAACAGTAAACCCTGAGAACAGAATAGCCAAATGTTTTGTTCTTGTTTTTTCTTTTAAAGAATTTGTATAATAATGTACAAATCATTAAGACTTAATTGCACTTTGAACCCATTTCTAACAAAAACAATTTAAGCTTTGTCAGCTACTCAGAAGAAAAAGCAGTATCAAATTTTTAAGACATTGCAGATTATTGTTCACAAAACTGTCACATTATTTCTATGTTTGTTCAATCCTACTCACCCTGCCTTCATGTGCTAGAAAGATTCTTAAGCCAAGTGTGTATCAGTGTATTACCAAGAAATAATATTAGGAAACAATTTTTTAAAAAATCAGCCAGAGAGCCCTATCCAATTACTAGTGTCTGAGAACCAGTACAGACAACAGTGTTCACTGCTAGGGTCTTCAAAACACATACAGAAAAGCACAAAGAAAATGGCTGAAGACAGAAGTGTTCATATAGTTCCAAACAGTGTCTAACACACTTGTGGCTAAGCTCAGAAATCTACGCATTGTGTTTTCCATCGTCATCTGTAACTCTGCAGATAGGCAAAATTTGGCATTGGCACTAAAATCAGCAACCATAAAACCTAAGTTCCCTTTGATAAAGCAAGTGGGTTTCTTGTCCTTATGGCTGCAAATACAAGGCTCAAAACTGAGTGGAAAAAAACTGATGAGCTCTCAGATGCTGTGTGATTGTACACATGGCTGTTGCACAGTTTCCAGTGATACAGATGCAAGGCTTCAGTGCCCTATGACGCTATTTGTTCCCGCATAGTTAGCAGATTAAATTACGCAAAACACACAGCCACAGGAACTGTGTGTGGGTTTTAGTGTTGAATTCCTCTCTGATCACATATGTCCATGCATGCTGAAATATGACTGCACTGAAATTATGAAGACTTGAATCTTTGGCCATTTCCTCCTCTTCTGCCTCTTCTTCCAGCAATTCTTAAAAATTCTAGCAGGAAAGAACTGGCCCTGGTACATACTACATTACATATCAGTCAAAATTAAACTAAAAAGCCTTTTCCTTTTCACCAGCAACTGAGGTGATTCACATTAACCTCATAAGGAAAAAAAATATCTTTGTACATTGTAGTAAATTTGAAGGTGGGAAAAAGCCAACAAAAAACCAGAAGAGGCTCTACTTTCAAAGTTAAGATGTTGAGCTGACTACCTGAAATATGGTAAAACAATATGGTTAGTTCTTGTCGGCTTGATGCTGTACAGAAGGGCCCTTTGTGAACAAGAGAGTTTTGAAACCAGGAGCCAATCAATTATTGGCCAAAAGTGCTCTGATTATACAAATGATTCTTTTGCGCTACGTTTGGTAGCCCTCTGCTCTTTTGTTTTGGTAGGATCATCTTCCAACTTTTTGCTGGGATCACCTTCTGTCACTTTTTCAGGATCCTTCTCTTTAGTTTGATCGGGAGGACACTTAGTCTCTGGACTGCTAAGCTCATAGGCAGGAGGTGGTGATGCTTCTGGAGTTGTTTTGGGAGTCATTTCAATTTCCACCTGCACATCTGACGACCCATACAATGCACTCATTCTTTTTGCGATCAACCCTTCTTTCTCTGGGGCTCCTTCTGCCAATGTCTCCTCATCTTGGCTGTGCCTATACATGTATGAGGCCTGTTTCACTGACCGCCTGAGTAGGTATCGTCGGAATGCCCGCTGGATTTTGGTGGCACTCACTTCCTCCTGCTTCCTTTTCAGTGTGGTGGTAATGGGCTCATAGGATACCTTTGAAGGATTGGCAGCCATAAATTTCTCCTCCATTGATTCCTTTAGGGCATCCATTTCCCCAGAATCTCCCAACACTTCTTTGGTAAGTGCAAAGAGTATATCCAGGCAGTGTATCTTATCCCCGGGAACCATGGGCAAGTCCATTGTGACCAATTTGATCTTATTTGGTTTAGCAATTCGCAGTGGCTCTTGTAAAGTGTCAACAAAGTCTGAGAGTATGCTGTAATCAATAAACTGTGTGGCATCTGGGTCAAACTTCTCCCACGTTTCATAAAACATTTCAAAGTCATCTTCACACAGAGGCTCACTGCTCTCCTCTGTGGCCACGTTGAAATTCTCCAAGATGATGGCAATATACATGTTGACCACTATCAAGAAGGAGATTATAATGTAGCTGCAGAAAAAGCAGATGCCCATGGCGGGATTGCCGCAGTCCCCCTTCACGTCACTGCCAGGATTGTCCAGATGAGGGTCACAATCTGGGGGACCACTGTTAAGGATGGGGTTCAGTAAGCCATCCCAACCAGCTGATGTAGTGATCTGGAAAAGGCAGATCATGCTGTTGCCGAAAGTCTCAAAGTTGAAGATGTCATCAATGCCAGATTCCTTCTTCACATAAGCAAAATTTGACATTCCAAAAATGGAATAAATGAACATGACCAGGAAAAGGAGGAGGCCAATGTTGAAAAGTGCTGGCAGAGACATCATTAAGGCAAACAGAAGTGTCCGGATTCCTTTGGCTCCCCGGATCAGGCGAAGAACACGCCCAATTCTGGCCAGACGGATGACCCTGAAGAGGGTGGGTGACACAAAGTATTTCTCAATGACATCTGAGAGGACAAGTCCTGAAAGATAATTCAGACAATATTTTTTTAAAATTCTAAGACTTCTTTATTAAAGTGATGCTGACTTTAAGGTTAATTTTTTTTTCTAATTGCACTAACACTGTACAGACAGTATCAATGGTCAAAATCCTACTGGGATTTTATTACAGAGTTCATTGAAATCATATAAGTTATAGCAGTGAATTGCAGTTAACTAACAATGTATCTGGTGATGGTGTCCAAGATTTTCAGAATTGAAGAAGGTGTAAATGAAAACAGAAAATCAGGCATACCGAATGAGTCTGTATGCAAAGTGTTTGAAAGCAGCTTGAAAAATGAGCATCATGATTAGATCAAATGTTTTAAAGAATTACCCGTATTTTTCGCTCCATAAGACGCACCTCTCCATTAGACACATCAATTTTTTAGAAGAAAACAGGAAAATATAATCTGTTTTCTTCGCTCCATAAGATGCACAGATTTTCCACTCCCCTGTTTTGTGGGGAAAAAGTGTGTCTTATGGTACGAAAAATACAGTAAATATGTCAGTTTTATTTCAGCTTTGCCCATGGATACACCAGCAAGTACAAATTCATTGTCTTTCACCTTTCCAGTACTACTTCTCTTTTCATTCATTTAAAATATTTTAAAGTGGCCTATGTATATTTATTCATGTATACATTCATCCTAAATGTCATCTTATTTGAAGATTTTTAAAGATACATGCAAAAATGCTTCAGAATTTGTGGGGAAGATGTGTTGGCCATGTCACAATTGCTAGCAAATTCGGGTCATCCTCTGCTGACCTCTCCACTGAAATGATAACACCTTGAAACTCTGCAAAAAGGTTTCCCACAGTTAACCTTGAGATTTGGACTGAAGACATGAAGATTCTTCTAAGCTGTATCTACTTCCCTATTTTGTCTGCCTTCATTTTGCTATTCTCAGTTGTGTCTACATTGTGTAGAAACTGTGTGTGGCAAATGCAGAATTTTTATATCCTTGTTTTTCTCACCTATGATGGAGAGAATGACCACAACAAAGTCAAAGATATTCCAGCCAACAGTGAAGAAGTAGTACCGCAAGGCAATCATCTTGAGGAAGCACTCAGCAGTGAAAATGATAACGAAGACCACATTGATTTTGAAGAGGATATCTTCTTTGGCTGTACTTTGGTCATCTGTTTCCACCATCATTGTCACCATGTTAAGACAAATGAGGATCATGATAATGATATCAAAGGCTTGCTTGGTCACTAAGTCAAAGATCATCCCTTGAAATTTGTTCTTTAATTATGTGGAAAGGGACAAGACACAAGGACAAAGACAGACAAGGGAAGAAAAGAGAAAATAAATGGATAAAAAACACATACAGAAATGTTCAAACATGCAAAGAAATTGGGGAATAATAAATCACCCAGATGCTAAGTGAATGGATTATAATAACTTGAAGGTCAAACTGTACTATTAGCACACCATTAGCAGTTTAGTACACATTAGTGTCGATCTAATATGATACCTGCAGAACATCCTGCCTGAGAAGTCAAAGTCACAAAACCCATATTTAGGTCCTAACTTCCAATTGCAAAGCAAGCTAATTTGAAAGTTATAGGACATGAGAAAAACTCACACTATGACAATCAGTCATCTTCTAGCAGTTAAGGAAATTCCATGTCTAGCAATGTGCTGTCTCTATATACCAGGTGCATACATAAGCTATGTCTTTCTTGGGTTTTACTCCAAGTGATGGAACAAGTGATGGCAATTTTTAGAATATATATTTTAATCGCATTTTAATTATTTTGCCCTTTTATTTTGCCTTTTTATTGTATTTTAAATGCTGTAAGCCGCCCAGAGACCTTCGGGTAGTGTGGGCAGCTTATAAGTTCAATGAATGAATGGATGAATGGATGAATGAATGAATGAATGAATGAATAAATAAATAAATAAGCAAGCCATTCTTTTGGTTTTTGTTGAAGTTGAGGTGGAAGATTTCTTAGACATCAATCCAGATGGCTTTTTTACAGGCTTCTCTGAAGGTTTTGAAGATGGAGTGCCAGGTAATGATTGTACTCGGGCTTTGGGACGAGATGTAGATGACTGGGTCGGGGTCAATTCCATAGTAGTAGATTTGGGAGACAAAAGAGTTTTATCCCAGCCTCAATCTTTGTCAAGGCGGGCTTAGTGAAGTTCTTACACTCTTTACAGGATTAAGGCTGGTGTCCCTCTCCTAAGCAAAATAGGCAGCGATCGTGGCTGTCTGAGAATGGAATTTTCCCAGCACACGAAACGCACCTCTTAAAGGGACCCGAAGGGGACATAAAGTGATCGAAGCCCCAGGCAGGTGGAGATAAAGGGGAGACTCATGGAATGAGGTTAGTCGAGGGCGATCCAAATTCGAAGCCAGAAAATCACAGTATATAGCCAGTCCAATAGCAGAGGTGAAAAGCGGTAAACAGGCCAAGTCAAAACGGGTAGGCATGAGATACCATATCCAAATCATGATTGAGAGAAAAACCAGTAACAGTCCAAAGTCCAAACGAATTAGCACAAAATACCAAGCCAGTCAGAAAGCGACAGTGGGAAAACGTCAACAATCTGAGTAGAAAAATGAAGGGGCAAAGCGCAAAATCCAAAGGCAAAAATCGTAGTAGTAGGCAGTACGTGATCAAAAAACGTCATAGCCAAAAAAAGTACCAAAAAGAGAAGCTTTAGTATGAGAAGTTCCAAACACTAAGGCGGTAAAATGGAACTGAGGCTTAGGGCGGGCGGAGCATGCTATGGGACAATGTACTGTACTATTAATGTTACTTTTTAAAGCTCTAGAATATTTGAAGGAGTCCAGTGCAAGCGCAAACTGAACCCATTTGTGTGGATTCACAGAGGCCACGAAGAAGAACATTATAGCATTTCTTCTGAACAGATAAAACTGCTTCTATGAAAAAGAAGCCAAAAGATGGTATGAGAAAGACAGGTGGGTTTTGGAATTTCAATTTTAGTTGAAACTGGGATGCAAAGAAGGTAGAGAGAAAGAGAAGGGAAGACAGGCATTCAGTGAAAAAAGTAGTGGTGGTGCCATGCAGACAGGGATAGTATTGCCTGGAAAGTGACCCCAATTCTTTCCTTTCCCATTCTTTCACTTATTTCTGGTAATCTGGTAATCTCAAAAATAGACTACTATAATGCTCTCTACATAGGGCTGCCCTTGAAAACAGCACTGAAAATTCAGCTGATTCAAAAATGCAGTAACCACACTGATTTTTCAGACTAGCAAATTTGACCATATATCCCCAGTCTTGTCCCACCTACATTTGTTCCCTGTCAGTTTCAGTGCTCAATTGAATTTGCTCACAATGACTTATAGAACCCATAACAATTTAGGGCCTCAATACTTGTCTAAACATCTCTCCCAGAAAACAGCTACCTGTTTCACTTACTCCTGACAATCCATTATGTTAAACATGGTGACACCAAGAGAAACTAAAAAGGTGACCACACGGAACTGGGCCTTCTTGGTGTTGGCCCCTATTCTATGGAACAAGTTTCCAACCAAGGGGAGCCAGGCTCTGTCTCTCCTGATATTCTGGAAATTAGTTAAGACAGAACTGTACATAGCAGGCTTTAAGAATATATCCTTGAATGCTGTTAATATTAATTTTTAAATTTAGGTTTGCTTGTGCTTTTTAAAAAAAACTGTGTTCAAATTGGTGTTTTGCCATATTAACTGTGTTGATATATGGGGGTTGAACTGGAGGTCTGGAGTGTGTGTTATGTTTTATTCTATAAACTGCCCAGAGTAGTGTGTGCATTAATGAGGTGGTATCAAATCTAATCAAAACAATACATTTTTTCAATCAGTGTAGCCTTGGTGATACTCATCACCTACAGATGACAGATCCCCTATTGTTATGAAACTTCAGGCTCTGTTTCTTGTTTCCTGTAGGGGTTGTAACATGAAAGAACAGTGTCCTGCTCGTGCATTATTCTAGTGAGAAACGACTGACTTTTGTAAATGCAGGAAAACTGTACATGAAAATCTGGCTCCCTTTGTGCAGTGAACAAAAAACCCCACTAATTTGTACTGTGCTCCTGTTTCATATGCTAGTAGCCTCTAGGTTCATGTGCTGAGGTCCAGTAATTCCAATCAACAGGTGGAAATCAGTATTGGGAAGAACCATCTCAATGCTAAACTCCCCCATTATGGACAGATTTCTAAACAGGGCTCTTGCATTCTTTTCTAATTGCCAGGATAACCTCTTTTTCCTGACCATTTGTGCCACCACTTTGTGATGACAGAAACTGTTACGGGAGCCAGACAAAACCAGAACAAAGCAAAAGACAAAAGAATGTATTAGCACTTCAAATACTAACTTTTATATTCTAATGTTAGCTTGGATTAGTGAAATAACCTATGAAAGTTTACACTGGAATATTCTACCACTTGGGTTCTTAACCTGTGGTCTATGAACCCCAGGGGGCCGCAATGTCCTCGCAGGGGGTCTGCAAAGGCTTGAAGAAATGTTATGATCTTTTGCAATTAAAATTGAATGAATGAATGAATGAATGAATGAATGAATGAATGAATGAATGAAAAGGAAATGTACAGTAGATCTTAATTTTCCTTGCTTGTTTGTGTCAAACTTGGCTCTTCTAACCTACCGCCACCATTAAAAACAAACAAAAGTAAAAATCAGTTATAAAAATAACTGTTGGATAGCAAATAACTGTTTGATATTTCTGCACGTGGAGAGAATATGCAAGTGAATGATGCCAAATGTTTGGAAATTAGCACGTGAAATTTCTTGCTATTTACTGCACAGAAAGTCAGAAGCCACAGGAAGAGAATTAGATTTTTGGAATCAGTTTGTGACAGTGTGAGTGTTCAGATGGACTTTGCAATTGTGTTCCTTCCTCCATTTCTGCTAATAAAACACTTATTTTTTACTGTAAGGCAAAGTGACTTTTTGATATTTTTCTAGTTCTTCCCAGACTGCTCTGTGTGGATGTAAATTCCAAAACAATACAGTTTGGCTGAGCCAAATGGATCATTGGCTGAATTTAAAACATAAAAGAACCGATGCTGTTGATGTGTGTACATCCTGTTCAAAGCAAATGAAGCTTCTTCCAGTCATTTTGAAAAATGTCGCTGTAATAGCAAAGAATATGTGTTGTTGAGACTCTTCATGAGAAACTTTAAATAAATATTTGATACACTTTAGGGTTTTAAATATTGAGTAAATCTTGGCGGTCTGTGGCAACAAAAGATATTTAAAGGTGGTCTATGGTAAAGAAACGGTCAAGAATTGCTGTTGTACCACATTCTTGTGTTTTTTATTTGGTTTTGGTTTTGTCTGGCAGTGCTTACAAAGATTAATACAGATGAACTATTGCTTTGAAAATTGTTGTGGATTAAGTTAGATGACCTAACACAAATATGAGTAATGTGTGTGGCAGTATCTTTCCATGCACTCAGAACATGAGCTTGAAAATGACATACCTCCGGCCTGGGGATAGGTTTCACTGGCTTTTTTGAGCCCAATTTCTTCATGGCATTGTAGTACTTCTTTTGCTCCTCTGTCATGAAGATGTCCTGACCTCCAAAGTAAAAAAGGGAAATTAACACTGTTAGACATGGGGTGAACTTCATAACTGTAGCATCTAAGACAAACTTCTTCAATCCTCATTCACAGAACTTGGAAACGTTACTCTTTTGGATTTTAATTGCCAGAATCCAAGAAAATAACATCTCCAAGTGCAGCTCCTCACTGTGAGCCCTTGCCCTCCAGACTTAATTTGAACCCGCAGAACCTGAAGTCGTACTCACACTGGCCATAAGAGCCACAATTATATCTATTTTAACATTATTTAAATCAATTGATAAATTCCTGGTCACATGACATAATGGGGAAATTGATCTGTTTGAACTGCAGTGTGAATTTGTTTTTTTTACTGGCCAGCAGGGGCATTGAAAATACCTTGCTTCTAAATCAATTCAATTCTATGCAGTTTTGTGGATATGAATGCTGCTGTTGTTTTAATTTGTGCCTATCGGGATTTTGGGGCACCAGCAAGTCAGGGAAAGTGAGGAAGGGGCTCATGAGGCACAATAAGGTGAACCAGTATTCAGGAATGAACAGACCGTCCTCTATGTCCTGGTGTGCTTACTCTATGAGTGCAGAACAAGTGCATGAGGACAGGGAAGATGGTCTGCACCCATGTTGTGCCCTCAGAGCAAATGTGCCAAGACATAAGGGATGGTCTGTATCTGCAGAACAAGTGTGCCAGGACGCAGAGGGCACTCTGTGCCTGCTCTGTGCCTACAGAGTGAGAACACCAGGACATGGAGGACTATCAGCATCTCAGGAGCATCGCCAGAAAGTACTCAATTTAGTGATGTATCACTTAATTTTTTTAAACAAACGTGTGCTCTTCAAATAGAATAGAAATGAGTTGAAGCAATGTAAGTCAGTGTGAATGTACTTACTGAGTTATATACTGTGTGACCTTACAGCATTTTTTAAAAAGTTGGGATTGGAATCAGTGTAAATTGGACATGTAACCGAGTCCTTACTTTCAGTTTATGAGCCCATACTAGATGATAATTTGTTCCTCTGTTTGGTGCACTCTGGGGACAGGCTGGTGTGCACCTTTTCCCACCACCCACACGTTAAATGCCATTACAATCCATCCATCTCTGATGTGTCCCTGTCTGCACATTTTTAGCTCTCTATCAGAGGCTACTGTATTTTACATGCAGATATATATGTATGTTTCTGCATTTAACTTCCTTTAAGGATGAGATGATGTCACTCAACAGCAGGAGCTTGATATGCTTCCCCTCATTTTCACTCTGTTAGATCAGTGATGTTATCTCAATCTTCGAGTCTTGTGGTTGCCTTAAAGGGATTAGGATTTCCTAGTTCTTCCCAGACTGCTCTGTGTGGATGTAAAGTGGTTCTCTAGCTTCCCTAAATCTAGGGCCATCTATACTATTCATCACATACTTTCCCCTCAGGATTTTCCTTTACACAAATGGAAAGCACAATAACCACTCTCTGGATTAGGACTTTGGCATCAGGATGGTGGCGGTCATGAGCCTCGACTGTTTTGCTTCTCATTGTAAACCAATTTTGGTACCAACTCCCTTCCCTTGCACAGGAAGTCTGCATTCACGGCAGTTGGATGATGATTTCCAAAACAAAATATTGCCATAGGGTTGAAAATAAAGCACACATCTGGCCTTTGTCATTGGAAAAGAACAAAGGACCATTGAGAGATGGTGGCATTCTTGCCCCACCCAGCAGCCAAAGAAGTTACAGCTATCAGGAACTTGTTCTCTCTCCTCATCTCACTAGCCGAAGAGAATATTTGGCTCTCCTTGTAAATAGAACCAAATGGATGTCTGTTGTAGTTCTGTGTATCGGTCAAAGACCCTAAAGGCTGACAGCCTGTAGGTGTGAGGTGTGCATGTGTGATTCTGCGTTTTCTGTATCATTGCACATTGTTGATGGTAAGCCAATTAGGAAGTAATTTGATCGAAAGATGGCTTCAAAATAAACTGATAATAAATAAGTGATACTTATCTTTTTCTTCTGCTGATTGAAGTTATCAATAATTACACCAATAAAAAGATTGAGAGTGAAGAAAGCTCCAAAGATGATGAAGATGACAAAGTACAGATACATGTAGAGATTCACTTCATACTGAGGCTGTTCCTCCACCTGAGAGGGCAGAGGAGAGGTTGAAAAGAGATTATATCTTGCAGGCAAGCCCAATTCCCTACAAGGTAGATCTGGTCATGCCTATAGGAGGCCTTCAGGGCAGGGAAGCAGATTCTTGTGCCCACATTACCTCACGGGAGTCAACAGCTGCATACATGATGTCCATCCATCCCTTAAAGGTGGCCTACAAGGAAGAGCACAGAAGGACAGGTTGAACACAGTGTTGGACAGAGTGAAGCTAGAAGCTTGGAAAATTTTCATTGGGTCTACGGACACATACACACTACCCCAAGACTTTAATACAACACCCACACACCACTAAACTATAGCAGTACAAACATCCTTTAATACAGTTATGTGAAACATTTAAAAAAAAATAGAGGGGCAAACTGTTTTATGCAACAGGAAATATTATGTATTGGATTAGAAACCTGTTGTACATCATACATTTATACATCTCATGGACATCTTGTCACCAGCTTAATAGGGGCCATGGGCACAGACAGAAGCTACGAATCATATCCTGAACTTACAAACCTAGAGATGATCTAGTTAAATAAAGAGTTTATATCAATCAGGATGTATCAGTTTCTGTGGAAGTTGATTGTTCTCCATTCCTCCATGTCAGTTTCAACATAGGGAGACCAAGATATAAAAATCCTTTTGCTTGCCCAGGTTGTGGTTAACTCCTCTGCCTTGGTAGAGTGGACTTATCATCCAGGTAGCATCACATTTCAAAAGACCACACCCAACCGAAGGTGGTGAAAGGGTGTTTCCAGCATACAGTATGAGGATATCAGCATGCTTCCTTTTGCTATATTGTATCATATTACATCTGTGGAAACCTTCTATAAATAAAATCTATATAGTACCAGTGGCTTTCTGTCTATATCACGACGTAAAGAATGCTAACATATTGGGGGCTGACTGGTTCAAAACCACCAATTATTACATATTTGAAACTCACTAAAGACCAATCCAGATTTGACAGGGTTCCTCATGTTTCTTGAATCACATAAGTGGTCTGAACAGGTAAAAAGCAATGTGCATTACATTAAAAGGGCATGGAAGTCAGGGGAAGTGAGCCTGCCCATATCCTCCATCATCAAGGCATCTTTTTCTTCTCCCCTAGCTGTTTCAAATACTTGGTGTAAGCTGGGGGGAAAGTGCCTGAGGCAACATTTCAGTAATTATCATTTATTTATTTACAATTCTATGCTGCCTTTCTCCCAATGAAGGGATCCAAGACAGCTCACAAATTGTTAAAAACAACAAATCAACTAAACTCACAAAAATGACATTAAAAACAATCATACACAGTATTAAGACAACTAGTTAAAACTGTTTAAAACACATTAAAACACGCATAAAATAATAATATCCAGCATACAAGATGAATACTGCCCAAGGCCCTCTCAAGTTTCCACTGGATGTGCCTCTGAAGGTGATGGGACTGAGAGAAGGGTCTCCACTGAAGATCTTAAGATCCAAGAAGATTCATATGGAGAGATACACTCCTCCAGATAGCCATGATCCAAACCATTTAAGGCTTTAAAGGTCATAAACACTACTTTGAGTTGGGCTTGGAAATGGACCAGTGAGCAATATGTATCCCAGCCTGGCTGTAGCATTTTGAGTTAGCTGAAGTTTCCAAATCATCTTCAAAGGCAACCTCACGTAAAGCGCATTACAGTCATCTGAGTAGGATATTACTAAGGCGTCCATCAAACCAGACACCTCTAGGAACTGGCTTAACTAGCACGCCAGTGTTTACATTTTTGTCTGCTTGTAAAAGGGTCAGGTGTGATCTGTTTACTGGGGATCACGTGATGCACGGGGAATTGATCAAGCTGTGAGCCTGAGTTGTTCGTTCAGCACAGAATATTGCACAGAATAAGGAGAATTCCACCTTCCTACCAAATAGCAAAATTAGAACCTCCCCAACTCCTCTGTATTAACTGGGTAGGCATGAGAACAGCAAGCACAACTGCTCTCCACCCTGTTTATTTTGGCCCTTACTGAGAGAGAAAAAAGGGAAAGGAGAGCACAGCAGAACTGGATGATTACAAGGTGTCCCTCATTCCATACTGAAATTTCTTTCTAAAATAAATGAGAGTGGAAAGGCAGCCTGTGGGTTCAGTAATCGTATCACAAGCCGTTTGCCTTTCATCATCAATATTTGGTGAAAGCACACTTCAGAAGTCTAACAAACTACTTGCCATGATCCAAAGAACTGAGTTTTCAGTGTCTTCCCTCAGAGGGTAAACATGTCAAACACTACAGAACAGAAAGGAGGGATGTATTCTGAAAGGATGGACCCCATGTGGGCATAAAGGGGGAAAGGTTTTCCTTGACAAGCAGTTTATGAGAAAAATGACTGGAGAATTCTCAGAACTGTAGCCTGAAAAAGGGATTGCTTGTGAATTCTCTGCCCTGCAGAAAAGTGGTGATGGTTGGGAGAAATGCGTACTTACCACCTGCAGAAGAGAGAGATAGCCCAGGCCTACGTTGTCAAAATTGACCTTGACGTTGACCCAGCGGACGTCGGTGGCATTCCCAATGTTAAGGAGGTTCATGCAGTCAGTCTTGTTGTTCACTTCAGTGATGTCAAAGAGGTCACCTGTTGTCGTATTGACACAGCGATAATACTTCCCTGCAAAGAGGTTGACCCCCATAATGCTGAAGATGAGCCAGAAGATCAGGCAGACCAAAAGGACATTCATGATGGATGGGATGGCCCCGAGAAGGGCATTAACAACCACCTGGCACCAAGAGGAAAGGATGGTTCAAGAGCCAAGTAAGGTCATATTGAAATCCAGTGTTTCAGAAATTTGTACTAAATACATTTTTTAAAAAACCCTTAAAAATCTGATTGTCATATCATTTTCAGTCTAGAAAAAGCATTAATGAAAAGTAGTAAAAGATCAGACTCTGAAGATTCTAAACCCAATAACATCAATACAGTAGCTGGGAACACTGGTTTCCAACCTGAGGTCCACAGTTGTCATTGAACTATGACTTCCAGTATGAAGTTTAGTTCACGATGGCTGATGATTATAGGAGTTGCCTTCCAACATCATCTGGTAACCCAGGTTGGGAACACTGTGATAGATAATTCAGTGCTACCAGAGGAACACAGGATTTTGTTTGAAGCAGAGATGACCTGGGCTCGTGTGACAACCTATTTCCAGTTTCATAAGGGAGAGAGCAAGCTGGCAAGATACCTCAGTAGTTTAGGCATCTGGCTCTGATGATTATAGGAGTTGCCTTCCAACATCATCTGGTAACCCAGGTTGGGAACACTGTGATAGATAATTCAGTGCTACCAGAGGAACACAGGATTTTGTTTGAAGCAGAGATGACCTGGGCTCGTGTGACAACCTATTTCCAGTTTCATAAGGGAGAGAGCAAGCTGGCAAGATACCTCAGTAGTTTAGGCATCTGGCTGCATAGCCAAACTGGCAAGATACCTCAGTAGTTTAGGTATCTGGCTGCATAGCCAGAGGTTGGAAGTTCAATTCCCCACTATGTTACCTGCGGGTACAGCCAGCCTATGTGGCCTTGGGCAAGCTGCACATTTCTGGGATGCCCCCAGGAGAAGAGAATAGTAAACCACTTGTGAGTACTCTCAGATTCAAAGAGGAAGTCTCACTTTGATGCATTTCCAGTGATAGCACGTGCTGGAACTTGACCAAAATGCAGTGATCCTATCCACAGCAAAAGTAGAAGCTACTGACAAGCGGGCAGAAAAGTGCGGGTAAGAATGCTCTGGGGGTGGGTGGACTGGTTTGCTCCAGCAGACACCTGATCGCTGGCTTTAGGATTAAACCAACCCATCCTGTAGCGGGCTAAATGCTCGTGTAGTAACCTTCTGAGTCATCTTGAACCATCTCTCAAACTAATCTGCCTCACAGGACATATGAGAATAAAAAAGGGAAAACCCATACATACTATCATGAGCTACATGAAGAAAGAATGAGATACTAAGCAGCAAATTTTCTTGATTCTCTGAGATTTCCATTATTCAGGAGAAAAACTATATGGAGGTCGGAAACACTGGGATGTCATGCCAAACATACGTGTTTACCTACTTATTTATTTATTTATTCGTAAAATCTATACACAGCTTTTCAGCCACAAGGGAACCCAGAGTATGTACATCTGTACTAATAAAAGAGAATGTATTTGTGTCTGTCATTGCCAGAACTTCAAGACTTTGAAATTCTGCATGCATACAGATGGGACCCTAAGGGGATGTACCTCGTGACTGGTTAGTACTGTCAAGCCTGGCATATGTGTTTCTCCATAGAAAAAAACATGGTTGAGAATCTAGCTACTTCTATAGTAATGGTTTAGATCAGGGGTCTCAAACATGCGGCCTGGGGGCCATTTGCGGCCCCCCAGATGATAGTTTGTGGCCCTCTCCTTGCCTGCCCCCCCAAAGCGCCCACACATCCTCTGCTGTCAAGAGTAAAAAAAAAAACTTGCCTCGCTCGCTGGCTCTTTCCCAAGACAGCACCTCTTGCACCCTCCATCCAGAACTGCAGCCTGCCAGCCAGCCCACCTGTCTGTCGGCTAAGGAAACTCCTGGGCGGCTTCCTCGGGCTCTTGCTCTGCTTGGCGGAAAATCTGATGTGACCCATTAAATACAGTATAATAGCAACAACATTGCATAACAAAAGACACAAATATTCAACCAGCAACCAACAGATACTGTAAAGCCAATCAAGTAATTAGGATGATACTTATCATGTTAAATGGCATGCCCCCAAATTTTTTTTAGTGTTTGGTATTTAGCACCAAAAGAGAAACCTACCCTCATGCCTTCAAATCTGGATAAGGCTCGAAGGGGTCTCAGTGCTCGGAGTGTCCTTAGCGATTTGATTGCTCCCAGTTCTGAGTAGCCCAACAAGTTTGCAGTTAGGCTGATGAGAGACACCTGACAGTGAGGAAAACAGAACATTCAGTTAAAAAAAAACCTAACAGGAGTGATGGGGAAAGAGATAGTCTTCCTTATTCTCCCTCCCTGCCCCTCAAAATGTTTTCCAGATGCTTGCCAAGGTTCCTCAAGTAGCCATCAGAAGGAACCTGTTTTTACATTTGGCTGGTCTACATTTTAGAACCAGTCATGTGGCAGAATCACATGACTGGCCTGTTATTAGTGCAACAGGGAAAGGGGTTCAATCCCAAATGAAATCTGTTAACTTACATCAACAATGAGGAAGTCCAGCCAGCACCAGGCATTGGTGAAGTAAACTTTGAACCCATAGGCTACCCATTTGAGCAACATCTCAATAACAAAAACGTATGTGAAGACTTTGTCAGCGTACTCCAAGATGGTCCGGATTGTTTGCCGCCGCTCAATGTAAATGTCTTCAAAAGCCTGAAAGACAGAAAAGAATCATCTGAGAACTTCCTCAAGAACCCACAATATTATTGCTAGTAGGCAGGTGAATATCTAGAAAAAAACAATGGGACTTCCAGAATTCATTGTTTTATATATTATATAATAATATATATATATTTATATATTATATATTGTACTACCGTACAATTGCACTCATTTCACATGCTAGCAAGGTTATGCTCAAAATCCTACAAGGTAGGCTTCAGCAGTATGTGGACTGAGAACTCCCAGACGTACAAGCTGGATTTCGAAGGGGCAGAGGAACTAGAGACCAAATTACTAACATCTGCTGGATTGCGGAGAAAGCCAGAGAGTTCCAGAAAAACATCTGCTTCATTGACTACACAAAAGCCTTTGACTGTGTCGACCATGACAAACTACGGCAAGTCCTCAAAGAAATGGGAGTGCCTGACCACCTTATCTATCTCCTGAGAACAGTGGGACAGGAAGCAACGGTTAGAATTGAATATGGAACAACTGATTGGTTCAGAATTGGGAAAGGAGTATGACAAGGCTGTATATTGTCCCCCTGCTTATTTAACTTATATGCAGAATACATCATGCGAAAGGCAGGACTGGAGGAATCCCAAACACGAATTAAGATTGACGGAAGAAAT